CAAAGTAGCCTGTGCTGAATCAAAATCAAAAACATATCACAATAGAACACAACATGGGGACAATCACAAAGGCCAGGGTGGTCAGAGAAGGCTTCATGGAGGACCATCTCCGAGCCTCGAAGGAAGATGGCTTACAGAGAAAAGGGGAAGAAGGCGAGGGTGTGAGAGGGTATTCCAGGCTGGGAAGCAGTGTGAACAGAGGAGTGGTGGCGGGGATGCTTGTAAGCCATTTGGAAACAATGAAAATACTGCATAGCTACAGCTGGGAGTTCACGCACCATATAATGCAGGAGAACTGCAGAGCAATAAAATTTAACACACCATATAATGCAGGAGAATTGCAGAGCTATAAGATTTAACACACCATATAACGCAGGAGAATTGCAGAGCTATAAGATTTAACACACCATATAACGCAGGAGAATTGCAGAGCTATAAGATTTTTCAAGTCCCTGAATGCAAATCTAAGAAACTTAGGCTTGGTTCTCTGTTCAAAATCAAGGAATTGAGAGAGGCTAAGAAGGTAGGGATCTGGTTCCTTCCTTCTCTCTTCCCACTTTAAGCTGAGCAGCTTCATTTTGATCGGTTTGATACACCGAGTTCCATGTAAGTTTTTGTTTTAAAGAAGTTTCCTGCTAGTTGCTAAGAAAGTAGATCTTAAAAGGCCTCATCATAGGAAAAAAAATTTTTATAACTATGCATGGTGATGGATGTTAACTAGACTTATGCTAATGATCATTTCACAATGTATACAAATATCGAATCATTTTGTTGTACACCTGAAACTAACATAATGTTATATGTCAATTATACCTCAATTTTTTAAAAAGTAAAAGAAAAAAAAGTTTTCTGCTGTTTTAAAAAATTTTTTGAAAATCCCTGGTGTCAGCAACATGGAGCCCTTTTTTTTTTTTTAGTTTTTTTAGTTTTTAAGCATAGATTTCTAGAATTTGAGCCTCAGAGGCTGCCTCATCTGTTATGTATCAAAAACAAAAATCCTCTCTAAACGACCTTTGCCTTCATTCTTAAAACACTTCCAGTGATTAAAAAAAAAAAAATTAGTATATGTCAAGATAGTACTTTCCATGCTTGGACTCCTCTCATTTTTGAGAAGTTATTTTCGTTGAACCAGAATTTACCTTCCTGTCACATTTACCCATCATCCCAATTCCTGCTCTCTAACAGCTACGACAATGAATCTGAAAACAGTTCCATGTCAAACACTTGAGGACAGCTATCACGGGTCTGTTTGGTGTTTTCTTCTCCAGCTAATCATCCCAAGTTTCTTCTCCCCACACTCAAAGTAGGCAACATGTCCTCTTGTCATTCTGGTGAGATCCTTCAACATACTCATCTCTCTTTCTTAAAGCAGCAAACACCTGAAAGCAGGTATTTTAAGAAGGATAAGGCCCAGTAGCTTGATTACACAGGCCTCCCTCCAAATTAGAATATATTCTGGGTCCAAAGGCTGGGAGGTAACTTATGTGGTCATTCAATTTGAACCTCCACGATTAACCAGGAACCTAGGATAATCAATGTGCCTAAGACAGGATTCTGTCATGGATGAGAACATAGGTGCTGGGAGTAGACATATCTGGTGATATCCTGAGTCTATCACCTATTAATTGGGTGACTTTAAATAAATCACTTAGCTTCCCTGGAACTCAGTTTTCTGATCGGTAAAGTAGGTGGTTTTAGGTCGTATTTCCCTAGAAACAGAGTCTGAAACAGGGATTTGGGTGCACGTGATTTCTGAAGGGAGTATTCTCAGGAAAAAAGGGAGTATGGGAACAGGACAGGGCAGGGGAAGGAGCTAAGCCAGGATGTGGTCTCAGGTGGAAACCATCTTCAGCCTGATCCCCCAGGGAACTCTGGAGTGTGAATCACACCACACAGTTGGTCCTACCTTGAGGCAAGGAGGCCATCCTTGTTCGTTCCTGTCTCAGTCATTCTTGGCTACACGCCCCTGAGGGGAGGGTGATGCAGCCTTCTGCGCAATGCAGCTCCCATTCCATTTGGCCAAGGGCAACTCTCCTGAGAAGAGGGCAGCCATGACCCACAGCTGCAAGACCCACAGCAGCTGGGGATGAGTACCCCGTCCCATGAAGGAGTTTGGTCAAGGCACCAACAGCAGCCACTACTGTTGACAATAATGTTAATAATAAAATAATGGTATGTATTGCAAATAATCAGTAACAAAGATTCTCTCCTTACCAAACTCTACTCAGGCTCCCTTGAATTCTTTTTCAACTAGGTCTCAAATTTTAGATTTTTGTGTTTGTCTCTGCATTGTCCAATTTTAGCAAGAATTCTGCTAAAGTGGTTTAACTAGAATTCCCCCACCCTCCATACCTGATCATCCTCAATATCTACAAGTTCCTCATCCTTCATCATCCCACCAAGGTGATGTCTAATCCCCTCTTACCCATGATTTTTCCTGCTCTGAACTGAATGTTTGTGTCCCCTCAAAATTCGTATGTTGAAATCCTAATGCCCAGTGTGATGGTATTAGGAGGTGGGGCCTTTGGGAGGTGATTAGGTCATGAAGGTGGAGGCTTCATGAATGGGATTAGTGCTTTAGAAAAGAGAACCCACAGAGCTACCTTGCCCCTTCAGTCATGTGAAGTTATAGAGAAAAGACAACCACATATCTGGAAACAGGCCTTTGCCAAATACTGAATCTGCCAGTACCATGATCTTGGACTTCCCAGCCTCCAGAACTGTGAGAAATAAATGTTGTTTATAAGCCACCTTTGTTGTTTATGGCATTTTTGTTATACCAGCCTGAGCAGACTAAGACATTTGCTCTTAGTAATTTTCCATTCACTGACTACACCCTGCTCCTTGGCCTTAAATTCCCACTCGCCCATGCTGTGTTTGGAATTGAGCCCAGTTCTACACTGAGGTCTCTTTTCCCCTATTGCGATAGTCCTGAATAAAATCTGTTTTTACTCCTTTTAACTACTGTTCAGGTCTGGTTTTTCTTTGAGAAAAGCAATACAGGCAAAGAGTGTTACATAGAAATTACTTAACAAATGTTAACATTTGTGATATAATAAGAAATATATATTTTGTTCTTTGTCCCATCTCCTGGCCAGAGCTCCTAAAACCTTTGTAATGTCCTAAGCAATAAAGATGGTAGGAGCATCTTTTGTTCTAATATTTGGTTATTGACTCTGGTTCCTGACACAGAATTCCTAAATTCCTTTGAATTTCCTGGGTGGTAGGAGTGCCTTTTATTCTAATGAGGCAACTCTTGGTGGGCTCCTGGATAGTTTCATTACGAGGGCTGGTCACCAGAAAGACCAAGCCATAATTAGAAGCTTGGAACTTTCAGCCCATCCTCTGAGGAGGGGAGAGGGGCTAGAAATTGAGTTAATAATCAATCATGCCTGCATGATGAAGCCTCCATATAAACCCCTAAAATACAGAGTTCGGAGATCTTCCTGGTTGAAGAACTTATCAACGTGCCAGTGTAACCAAGCAAGAGCTGGTTCTGCTCACCACAACCTGATGCCAACCAATTGCAAGATGAGTTGGTGGTCAAGAAAGGGATTTATTAGATTAGCCAGCAAAATTGGAAGATGGTGGACTCATGTCCCAAAGACCACCTTAATTAATCAAACACAAAATCTTGAGGCAGTCATATGGGGAGGAGGGGAAAATAGGGAGGGGAGTCAGGCTACTTCTGGCATCCATTCTTCAGACTTCTCGTCTTCTGTTCCACCTGCAGGGTCTGACGTTATTTCTTCCCTTAACAACAGGTTTCAGTCTCCACAGTGTCCTCATCCCTTTTGGTTCCTGAAAACTAACTCATTCCACTGTCAGCAAAGTTTCATGTCAGATTTGAGAACCTGCAGAAACGTGTTAAAACACATCCCTGTGGCCTTTGCACAACAGCCTGGTTACATTACAGGTTAATGATCAGCAACACATGATTAGCAGTTACACCAGGAGGGTGGCACACCCCAACTCCATGAAGACAGAAGCTCCTAAGGCAGGATCCTTCCAGATCTTACCCTCTGTATCTCTTCCATCTGGCTGTTCATCTGTATCCTTTATTATGTCCTTTATTATATAACAAATTGGTAAGTATAAATAAGTGTTTCCCTGAGGTCTGTGAGCCATTCGAGCAAATTATCAAACCCAAGGAGGGGGTCATGGGAACACCAATTTATAGCTGGTTGGTCAGAAGTACAGATGACAACCTGGGACTTGTGATTGGTGTCTGAAGAGGGGGCAATTTTTTGGGCCTGAGCCTTTAACTTGTGGAGTCTGACGCTAACTCCATGTAGACAGTGTCAGAACTTAGTTGAATTGTAGGACACCAGCTGGTGTTGGAGAATTGGTCGATGTGGGGAAAAACCCACAAATGTGGTGACCAGAGGTAAAGTGATATGAGTTATACAGAGGAGAAACAGAGTTTTTTCTTTCCAGCATTGTTGTTGATATTAAGATAAGCATTATTCTCTTCAGTCTTCTCTCTCATTCCGTAGGTTGCCTTTTCATTGTGCTAATGGTTTTCTTTGCTGTGCAGAGGTTTCTTAGTTTGATGTAGTCCCAATTGTTTACTTTTGCTTTTGTTGTTTGTGCTTTTAATGTCATATCCATAAAACCAATCCCAAGACCAATGTCAGGGAACTTTACCCTTAGGTTTTTCTTCAAGGAGTTTCATGGGTTTGGGTCTTACATTTAAGGCTTTAATCCATTTTGAGTTAATTTTTGTGAGTGGTGAAAGATAGAGGTCCAGTTTCATTCTTTTGCATGTGAATATCTGGTTTTCCCAACACAGACTATCTTTTCTCCAATGAGTATTCTTGGCTCCCCTGTAAAATATTAGTTAACTTGGGTTTATTTCTGGATTCTCAATTCTGTTCCATTGGTTTATGTGTCTATTTTTATGCCAGTATCACACTATTTTGATTACTATAGCTTTGTAATATAGCTTGAAATCAGGAAGTGTGATGCCTCCAGCTTTGTTCCTCTTTCTCAAGATTGCTCTAGATATTTGGGATCTTTTGTGTTCCATACGAATTATAGGATTTTTTCTATTTCTATAAAAAATGTCATTGGAATCCTGAGAGGGATTGCATTGACTCTATAGGTGGCTTTGGGTAGTGCAGACATTTTTACAGTGTTAATTCTCTTGATCCATGAACACAAGATATCTTTCCATTTATTTGTGTCTTCTTCAACTTCTTTCATAAAAGTGTTGTAGTTTCCAGTGTACAGATCTTTCATCTCCTTGGTTAAATTTATTTCTAAGTATTTATTGCTCTTGGTGCTTTTTGGGATTGTCTTTATTTCTTTTTCAGACAGTTTGTTGTTAGTGTATGGAAACACAACTGATTTTTGTATGTTGGTTTTGTATCCTGCAACTTTGCTGAATTCATTTATTAGTTCTAACAGTTTTTTAGTGGAGTCTTTAGGATTTGCTATATATAAGATCATGCCATCTGCAAACAGAGAAAATTTTACTTCTTCCTTTCCAATTTGGATGTCTTTTATTTCTTTTTCTTGCCAGGTTGCTCTGGCTAGGACTTCCAGTACTATGTTGAATGGAAGTGGTGAAAGTGGGCACCCTTGTATTGCTCCTGCTCTTAGAAGGAAAGCTTTCAACCTTTCACAACTGAGTTTGATATGCTCTGAGGTCGGGGTCTGAGAGGTGCTTCTGCCTGTACTCCACGGTTGGGTGGACATGCTGGCTGGGCTCTGCATTCAAGCAAGGCTGCTGGCTGTGGTCCATGGTCAGATGGGACTACTAGAAGCGCTCTGCAATCACCTCTGGTTGCACGAGGTCTCAGGCTGTGTTCCCTGGCAGGGTCACTGTTCAGGATCTCTGGTTATGCAGACCCAGAGGCTATACTTAACAATTGGGCAGGGCTGCTGGCTTGGCTCCCTGCCCAAGCGTGGCTGTAGGATGGGATCTGTGGCTGCCCAGGTTCTCTGGCAGGCTTCCTGGTCAGCAGGACTGGAGGCTGTACTCAGCGGTTGTGTGGGCTGCGAGTTTGCTTCCCTGCCTGGATGGCCATAGAATGGGTTCCACAGCTGGTATCGCTCATTGGCTGGGGACCCAAATCAGGTAGAAGGGCAACTGAGCTCCCTAGCCAGATGGGGGTCAGCAGCTCAGCTCTGCATAGGGGCAGAGCTGCTGACTGGGATCATTCCCGGGGCTTTGCTGCCAACAGGAATGTGGTCCACCAAGACCTGAGCACTGGTTGCTGTAAGCCCCACCTCCTTTGTCCATCTCTATCTGATCCCCTACAGTCAAGCCCAGCAGATTCCTCCAGTGATCCCCATGACTATCCCTCTCCTATCTCAGCAGAAAGCTAGAGCTTTATTGTCTAAGGAGACTAACACAAAGAGTCTCTGGATAGGGGGACAGGGGACATGATGGCAGTTGAAAGCAGGGGTATCATATTGAACACAGGAGAGTTAAGTGAAGTTTTACACATTTGATGTTAAGACTGGGCCTCCTTTCCCGTCTCAGCTTTGAGGACAGGGACAGGCAGGCTTATACACTCTGGGCAGGATTGTGGAGGATTCTTCCCAGGGAAATCTGACCAATCTCAGAAAAAACCTGAAGACACAAATACTGATGTGGTAGTCTGTTTGGGCTACAAACTATCATAAACTGGACAGCTTAAATAATAAATATTTATTTCTCACAGTTCTGGAGCCTAGGAAGTTCAAGATCAAGGCACCAGCAGATTCAGTGTCTGATGAGAGCTTGCTTCCTGGTTCATAGACGGCCATCTTCTCACCGTGTCTTCACGTGGCAAAAGGGGCGAGAGAGCTCTCTGGGGTCTCTTTCATAAGGGCACTAATCCCAGTCAGGAGAGCTCCAGTGTTATGACCTAATCACCTCCCAAAAGCCCCACCTCTTAATACTATCACATTGAGGGTTAGAATTTCAACATATGAATTTGGCAGGGGGATGCAAACATTCAAGCCATAAAGATTGTAGAGGGTTCTTCTCAGGGAAATCTGGCCAGTCCAAGAGAAAAAGACATGAAGACACAGGCACTGTGTGTTCCCTGATAAAATAAGCCAGTTAGTGGAGGTCCACTCCAAAATATAAGCATATAACCAAGAACTACTAACCAGATGAGGGAAGCTTCTAACATTAAAAAAAGGTCAAAGAGAAAAAAAACAAATAAAAGGAAATAGATTAGGTAGGGGATAATATCAGAAAAATCATCAAAATCCTCAGAAAAATAAGAGAAGCTATTGGAACCCTGAAACAAGAACAGGATGCTATTTTTAAAAAGAAAAGAAAGACAAATAAACAATGAGAAAGAATTTTAGAGTATAAAAGTACAAAGATGAAAGTTCTAGAAATTTGATTAAATGACAAAAGTAGTAGAGAAAATATAAGAAAATTAGAGAATCGGTCAGGGAACCCAACATCTGAAAAATAAGAATTTCAGAAATAGATAACAGGCAAAACAAGGGGCAGGAAATTCAAAGAAATAAGTCAAGAAAAAAAAATGGCCTTGAATTGAAGGACATGAGTTTCCAAATGGATGGGGCCCATTAAATTCTCAGCAATATTGATTAAAATAATCCTACAAGATATTTAGGCACATCATCATGAAATTTCAACACCCTGTAGTTAAAAAGAAAATTGTAAAAGCTTGCAGAGAGACGTAACATATCACATACAAAGAGATGAGATTCAGAAGCGCTTCAGATGTCTCCACGGTGACACTAGATGTTGAAAGATAATGGAGCAATGCCTTCAAGATTCTGAGAGAAAATCTTTCCAATACATAAGGAGCAACGAAACTACTAACCAAGTGTGAGACTAGTGCACTGAGGTCAGACATTTTCAGAAAGCTACCAGGAGGTGTTCTGCCAAAATAAAGGAGGAAATCGAGAAAGTCCTAGGATCCAGAAAGCAAGGCATTCATCTCAGGAGAAAATCAGAGAGAATCCCCAGAATGATGTGACTGGAGATCCAAGATGGCAGTGGGTCACCGGGTGTAGAGGCAACTAGCTTAGAGTGGAGCAGGTCCGAGTGCCCAGGGAGAGAGGTCTCCAGGAAAACAAAACTAATAAAACCCCTAATGATTCCGAACATATTCAAAGGAAAAGAAAGACAGCTAAATTCTCGTCTTCCATACCAGGAATTCAATGGATAATACCTAAAACTGAAAACAAAAATTAAGAAGTAACAATATAAATAAGCATATTATGTATAGATATGGAAGTAAAATCCAAAGAAACAACCAGAAGATGTGAAAGTGGTTTTCTTTGGAGAGCAAGAAATGGAGAAAGGAAAACAGGTGGCTCCTATATTTTATTATGGTCTTCTATTCAAAGTTGATTCTTAAAACTAAGTGGATGTATAGTTTTGAGGAAAATTTAAACTAAATATAAAAAAATTAAAAGAATATATAGAGAGAGAAGCAATGGGCTAAGAATTAGGCTTGAGGACAAACAATTTCCTGCTTAACTCTTCAGCTTCTATAACAATTCCAGAAAACGGGACCCCATTGTAATGCTGTCTACCCCTGCTTTTTTTTTTTTTTTTTTTGTGAGGAAGGTCAGCCCTGAGCTAACATCCGTGCTAATCTTCCTCTTTTTGCTGAGGAAGACCAGCTCTGAGCTAACATCTATTGCCAATCCTCCTTCTTTTTTTTTTCCCCCGCAAAGCCCCAGTAGATAGCTGTATGTCATAGTTGCACATCCTTCTAGTTGCTGTATGTGGGACGCAGCCTCAGCATGGCCGGAGAAGCGGTGCGTCAGTGTGCGCCCAGGATCCGAACCCCGGGCCACCAGTAGCGGAGTGCGCACACTTAACTGCTAAGCCACAGGGCCGGCCCTACCCCTGTTTTTTACTTGAGAGATTCAAATAAATACAAGATGCATTTCTGTTTATATAATCAATGGTCCAGGAGGCAAGGAGCTATTTGCAAGCCTACACGCAGACCAGGATTTAATCCCTTACCTCCTCATGTTAGTTATGTGAGTGGCATTGGGTAAATCACTTCACCAGTCTGAGCCTCAGTTTCCCCGTACATAAAATAAAAGTGATGACAGTACCTACCTCTCAGGTTGGTTGAAAGGAATAGCTGAGGTAATAGACGTGCACCTAGCACCTAGTAGGTCCGGTTTCCTCTCCTGTATGTACTTCCTTACCCACACCTCTTCTGCTTGAGTTTGATTAGGTAAGGTATACTAAGAGAAAAACACAGAAATCAGCCAAAGGTGTTTTTTTTTTTAAGATTTTATTTATTTATTTATTTTCCCCCCAAAGCCCCAGTAGATAGTTGTATGTCATAGTTGCACATCCTTCTAGTTGCTGTATGTGGGACGCGGCCTCAGCATGGCTGGAGAAGCGGTGCGTTGGTGCACGCCCAGGATCCGAACCCAGGCCGCCAGCCGCGGAGCGCGAGCACTTAACCGCTAAGCCACGGGGCCGGCCCAGCCAGGGGGGTTTTAATAAAGCTCAGGAACCTACTCAGGTCAGACTCAGGGCAGAGTTATCTTCATTTTTGTGCCCTCAGGCTTCAAGCGCTAACTGACTTCGGTGACAAATCTGGCTGGAACTTGAGCTTCACGCAGCACAGTTTACCACTCGTGCAGAAAACATAGACCTTTTCTTTCTTGACGCATTTGTCACGGCAGGAGCCATGCAGATTCCAGCATTTTTCAGTGCTGCCTGATACAAAGAGAAAAAAGAAGAGAGCCGATATCAGTCCCAAGGGGAAATAGGTCCTGGCTGGAGAGGACTACCAGCCAGGCAGAAAAGAGGGGCCACAGAAAATGGAGGAGTCATCTCTAGATTTATTGGATGGTGGTGTATCTCCCATCCTTTCTGACAGCCCACTCCCATCCCAGCCCTTCCTGAATGTTCTCTCTCACAGGTTCAGTAGGCCATACGAGTTAGGAGCATGGACTGTGGGAAGCCACAGACCTGGATTTGAAATCTGTCCATACCACCAGCCAACTGGAAGACCTTGAGCAGGTCATCAATTTCCTCTTTTCTAAAAAGAAGATATAGCACCTGCCTCAGAACATTGTTGTGTGGATTAAATGAAATTATAAGATGAGCCTGAAGTATTCTGCCATACTAGATACCAAGGAAGCTATCAAAGACTAACAGAGGTACATCCAAAAAACTTAGGAGCCGGGGCCGGCACCATGACTTAGCAGTTAAGTGCTCGTGCTCCACTGCTGGCAGCCTGGGCTCCATCCCGGGCGTGCACAGATGCACCGCTTGTCAGGCCATGCTGTGGCAGCATCCCATATAAAGTGGAGGAAGATGGGCACAGATGTTAGCCCAGGGCCAGTCTTCTTCAGCAGAAAAAAAAAGAGGAAGATTGGCATGAATGTTAGCTCAGGGCTGATCTTCCTCACACACACACACACACACAAAAACTCAGGAGCCAAATTGAAGAGGTTCCCACTGGTCAAGAATAGGAAAATTTGTGTTTCTTCAGGGATAATTGCAATAGATTGGACTCGTGGCTTAGAACCATGAGTTCAGAATAGTATTTAGGAAAAACTAATTGCTCAACCTCAGAGGTTGACATTATCAATTCATTATCTTGCAAACTGATAAGCAAAGGTAGAGTCAAGCATTTATCCTGCCTTTCTTCTCTGAACCCTCTAAACTCTAAGGTAACCAAACAGTAGATGAAGGGAAATAACTCTTTCATAAGTAGCTCAGCTAATACGTGAATGCTCTTCCCAATGTATCTGCATGGCTCGCCCCTCACTTCTTTCAAGTCTTTGTTCAAATGTCACCTTTTCAGTGAGGCATTTCCTTAACATCCCTTTTTAAATTGCAATCCCACCTCCCCTGACATTTGCTCTCCTCTTCCTCCTTACTCTGTTCATTGCCTGCCCCCTATAGAATGTAAGATCCGAGAGGACAGGGATTTTGTTTGATTGGTTGGTGGGTGGGTGGGTGGTTCACTGCTCTGTCTCCAGCACCTATCACAGTGCCTGGCACATGGTATCCACTAACAGTATTTATTGAATAAATGAATTATTCGACTAAGTAATGATATATCCATTGTCCCCTAAATCCAGCTGCCATTACAGGAAAAACAAGGGGAGGTTGTAAAAGAAGAAACACTGAAAGACTAAATAAACATTTATCCAAAGCAAAATGAATTAATCTAAGAGACTGTTTTAAACCAGAAAAGATAGATATAATTATCTGCTGAGTTTATGTACAGCCCCTGTGCCCTTTCCAATCGCCACCTTTCTTACCAGCAGGATGGAAGTTCCTGGGAAAGTTCAAATGAGTTATAGAAAATAGAGAAGCTACATTTGTTGCACACCAAAATTTCAGTGTATTCAATGCTGACCTCTCAACCTAATACATTATTTCGCATTGAGAAATGAGAAGATTGGAACTCAGAGCAGCCAAGTGGCTTACTGGGGTTCACAAACCTAATAAATGGTGGAGCAGATTCTAACCCGGGATTTGGAGGGTCTTCCCTCCTCCCCAGGTGGATGGTGTTTCATGCACGTGTCTACCATCAACAGACACAGGTTTGAGTCCAGAGTGTTCTCAAGCAATCCACTCATGTCCTGACCCTGTAGAAAGGTTAGAGAGATACTTGGCGGGTGGTGGGGGTGGAAGCTTCTGTCAGATGAGAAGGAGGGATGTGCTAGCACGTTGGGCTTGGAAAGTTTGATGAGGGCCCTTCTCTACTTCAAACCTTTCCATGGCTCTAGTGCAGGGGCCAGCACAGACAGGCAACTGTAATTATGAGATTCTGTCTCCCTTTAGGCAGTCGTGAATAGCGTAAAATCCAAGTGATTTCAGGGACTATTGCGAGAAAGGGTTGCTATTTCACACTTTCCCTGCCCTCCCCCAATCCTCCTCACACACCAGACCTCCTGCCCCGACCCCTGGAGCTGACCAAAGAGAGAGGGTCTGGGGGTGCTGAGGGGAAAGTCTGGGATTACCGTTCTTGCCTAAGATCTGGCACCTGCCACTGGCAAAGATGGCTGTCCGGGTGCCAGGTCCCCTATTATGTGGGTTCAGAAAATGAAGAAGCTACATTTGTGGCACACCAAAATTTCAGTGTGTTCAATGTTGATCCTTCAGCCTGATTCATTATTTCAAATTGATAAATGAGTAAATTGAAACTCAGAGGAGCCAAGTAGTTTGCTGGGGGCATCACAGAGCTAGTAAATGGTGGGACAGGGTCTAACCCAGGATTTGGGGGCTCTCCCCTCTTTCCCAGATGAGTGGTGTTTCACCTGCCACCTGTCAGCCCATCCTCCCAGGCCCTGGAGTGCCCTGACCAAGACCCACTCTCCATCCCTCCTCCTCCCCTGAAGAGGTCCAGGTTACCTGGCATGCCCTTGGACAAGAGCAACAGCACAGCCAGAGTCAGCAAACAAGGCTTCATGACTTCAGGTAGCCCCAGGAGCAGTCTCAGGTCTGGAGAGGTGACAAGCAAATGGAGGAGAGCTCTGGACTTTCTGTTCCCTCTATCAACTGGGACCGATATCACTTACATGTGCCCTCAGCTGCCCACGGGTACAGTCCGCGCTGGAACAGCCCTCCTCTCTCGGACTTCTCAGTCACTATCCCCATGCCCCCACACCACAGATGGACCGCATACCCCTGAGCTGACGTGCCTCCCTTTGTGCACCTTCTCCTTTTAGGGACCAGTAGGGAGAAATCATACAACAGCCAGAAGTATTTTTTTTTTTAAATATATGTCAGCCCTTGTTATAACTCAACCTAAACCCTCCAAGACTCCACATCACATGCAGAAAAAAGTGCAGTCTTTACTATGCCCTACAAAGCCCTGCATCATCTGGTCTGGAGATCCACCCTTGTCATGGTTTTGATGTAAGTTAAGCAGGCTCCTTTTTTTCAAATGTAATTTTCCAGTTTGGGAGCGGAGGAGTAGAGAAAGGCAGACACTCATTCAGACCTTGGGAAGAGTGTGTCTATCTGATTATTTTCTCTCTAAGAGAAGAGGCCTCACTTCCTAAAATGCTCTGTGTCAGGGAGATTTTGGCATTGAGGGTAAGAGAGGGAAGAGTTGAAAATAATCAGCTCCTTGTACTGGCTGTGCCACTCACTTGCTGTGTAACCTTAGGAGAGTCACTTTCTTTCTCTGGGCTTCAATCTCACCAATGAGTAGACTGGAACAGATGGGCTGTAGGGATCAACCCAACCCTCATATGCTGTGGTTCTCTGGACACTAAAAAAAAATCACAGAAAATGGAATGCTGCAGAATTCCATGTTTTCACCACCAATACAGGCCAGGCTAATTAAGTTTATACCAAAGGATTCTCAAGGCTGCCCTCATCAGGCTCCAACCCTCTTTACACACTAGGGTCAGAGGCCTGTTCCCTTGATACCTCCGTCCAATGTGCTATATGGCACTTGGTAAACCACAATCCCCCTTTGGGGCTGCTCTTTGTATGGTCGATGCACCTCATTATTAGTTTATGACTTTATTAGTTTATGACTTTTTAAAAAAGATCTCCATAGTTGCTGTAATTTAAGTGGGATTTGAAGAGTGAATGACTAAACATGTGTGTATTTTACCCAACATTTTTACCCAAAAGTCCAATAACATACTTTTAAAAATTACATATTTTTTTTACTTTTGATGCCTAAAAATGCTATTAATTTTTGCATTTTATTTTTCATCCGGAAACTATTAATATGGCAAATTATATTAACTGATTTTCTAATTTTAAATCAAAGCTGCATTCCTGGGATAAACCAAATTTAGTGACAAAGTATTAACATTTTTACATATTTCTGGATTTGCTGTGCCAACATTGTGTCTAGATTTGCACATCTATGTTCCTACGTGAAATTGGTCTTCCTAATCGTGTCCTCTTCAGGCTTTGGAGCCAAGTTATGCTGACCCCATAAAATGGATGGGGAAATATTCCCTTTTTTTCTTTTCTAGGAGAATTTGTGTAAGCTGAAATTTCTGTTGTTATTATTTTATTATTTGTCCCATGAATGTTTGATAGAACTTGCAGGTAAACCATCTAGGACTGGGACTTCCACTTCTGGCCAAGATGGAGTAACAGGAACTATAAGAGAAGCAAGTCAATACCGTTCCTGTTACTCTGCCTAAAACAACTCTCTCCCACCTGAAACAACGAAACAGACAAAATATATGAATCAACAGCTTTTAAGACATTTGACATTGGGTAACAAAGGACAGCGATTCTTGAGATCTGATCAATAAACAAGATGAGCTCTGTGATTGACCCGCCTTACTGCCCTGAGAGAAATTCCAGGCCAGGACATAGGAATAGAGAAGCCAGGTGGAGCCTGATGTCTCCCAGGGTTGGTGAGAACAGAACCGGGAGCCAGTGAGATCAAAGCAGATAGAGTTCACAGGGCAGAATACTAGAGAGGAGAGAGCTGCACAGAGAAAGAGAGAGATCTCGAGAGACCTGCCAAGGATCCTCTAGTCTTCAGCTCAGTAATTACCAGAATACATGTGTAAACCAGAAAACCACCCATGGCTGGGCCACCTGAAAGGAAACAATCCCTCGAATTCACATAGGGCTAGAAATAGCTCTGGTTCCAAATAGCCAGAGTAGTAAACCTCATAACTTACAGATGTCAGATAGAGTACTCAGAAGAGTTTTGCCTTAGTGCTGGGGGGAAATTAACCGTACACTGAAATCTGCTTAAAAGAAAGATCCAAAATAATCCAACTTATTGCATTCAGAACGAATCTCAGAAATATTTATAAGAATATGAAAATATTCCTGACCCAAAAAGGTAAAAAACAGAATGTCGCATCCAATCAACAGTTACCAGGCACATAAAGAAGCAGAAAGATATGACATAAAGAGGAGAAAAATCAATCAACAGAAACAGGCCTAGAAATGACACAGATAACAGAATTAGTAAACAAAGACAACAAAATAGTTATTATAATTGTATTCTATATATTCAAGAAGATAAAGAAAAGATTAAACATGTTAAGTAGATGTATAAAAAATACCCAAATCAAACCTAGTATTAATTAGGTCAAGTTGACTGATAGCAATTTTAACTATCTATATCCTTACTATTAGTTTCATAATAATAGAGGAGTCAATTCATCAAAAGGACATAAAATACTAAATGTTATTTACCTTAAAATACATCTTCAAATTATATGAAGCAAAAACTAATAGAACTACAAAGAGTAATAGAAAAATCCACAATTATACTAAGTGACTTGAACACTTCTCATTCAATAATTGATATAACAGAGGCCTTTGATGACACCTGGATTGCCCCTTATGAGACCCTGAAACAGAGAATCTGGCTAACTAGGTGACTCCTGACCCACAAAAACTGTAAAATAATAATGTACATTGTTTTAAGCTGCTACATTTCTCGTAATTTATTATGCAGAAATACAAAAACTGTTACAGAGATATGCTAATTGGTTGTCACTCCCCAGTTAAAAAAACAAAAACATTCTCTTTAGGGTTGTTCTAGAAATTTTAGCATGCATACTTAATTTGCAATAGTTTAAAGTTAGTATCTTGAAGTGAACTTCTAATGTGACAAAGTTTCTACTGGAACTAACTTCCCACAAATAACAACTATAAACTCTAAACAAAATACAAAAAAATATGACTTGAAGGAACTGCACACAAAACAAAAGCAGATAGATTCTGGAAGGGAGTTGACACTTGAAAGAAGGAGATGGCATGAAGTTAGTTTTCCACCTTTTTCAGCTTTTAGTCTCAGAGCAGACCACACTTGGCACCATGTGGGACAGCTAAAACTCTGATAGAAAACTTGCAGTCTTTCTGGCCTGAAAAACAGAGGACAGAGTTTGGAACTACCACAGACACTGTAAAGTCAGGGAGGGAATCCCAGAAAGGAGAGAGCAAGATAGAAGGAGGCACAATTTCTGTCTACAAACTTGGACCAGATCTCGGGCTGAACCTCACAAGTATAGAGCAGACTTCAGGCAGCCCAGCTAAGAATAAAAGAACTGAACTAAGGTTTGAACTGCTACCCAAGAGACAGAGTTTGCATTTTGAGTCCAACCAAATTAATTATATGCCCAAAAAGTCAACATTCTTTGGGGAGATATCAGAGAATTCAAAATCTCCATTACATAGCTTTCATAACGTCCAGGATACAATCCAAAATTACTCAAGATACAAAGAAAGAGGAAAAAGTTACCCATTCTCAAGAGAAAAACAACCAACAGAAAGCAACCCCAGGATGACTCAGATGTTGGAATTAGCAGACAAGGATTTTAAAACAGTTATTAGGAGGAGGAAGTCAGGATGGCAGCGTAGGCAGACTCTGAACTCACCTCCTCCCGCGGACACGCCAATTTACAACTACACATGGAAAAATTACCCTGAGACAGAACTGAAAACTGGATAAGAGGAACTCCGGCAACAACGGACAATCCTAATTGAGGTAGAACAGGCAGAGACTCCCTTCTGGAGAGGAAAAACGCCGCCTTCACAGGCCGCAGCACCTCACGGCCGCCCGGGAGCAGCCCACAGGTACGCAGCCTCCCTGGAGGAGCGGGGCCCTGAGCCAGGGAGCACCCCTGCTGGGGGCATTTTGTGGACCCAGCACAATCGAGACGAGTGGCATAATATCTGACTTTGCCTGCTACTAAAACATTGGGGAGTACCCCCAGAGAAGCTGGTTTACAAAGAAATTAAAACCAGCTCTTAAAGGGCCCATGTGCAAACTCACTTATTTCAGAAAGCAACCTAAAATCACCAGAAAGAAAGGTGCACAGTGCTTTGGTGAAAAGAGACTCACCTAATAGGCCCTGAGTGCATCTCAGTGAGAGGTGAGACCTCTCCAGGGACTGGGACATGGGCAGTGGTCATTGTTGTGGCCTGGTGTGGGCGTGCTGACACAGACGCCATTGGAGTTATCCCTGAGGCCTGCTAGCCCAGGATCTGCCCTACCCGCTAGAACACCAATTTAATCCAGTTCAGCCAGGGCAGGCAGCCCACCCTAAAGACTGGCCCCACCCAACAACAAGCCCTCAGGCAACTTGTGGGCCTGCATAGATTGGTGACTGGATTCGCTGCAGCCTGGCAACTGAGCTCACTTCAGTGGGGCAGGGCATGCACAAGGAGTGGGTGGAGAGTGTGGAGCGGTGGTAGAGTGTGTGGGGCTCCCGCAGTGGAGAGACTGGGTCCACTTCGGGAAGTCGGGGCGCGCACACAGGGCAGGACTGTGTTGTCTGTGTGTGTGGACCTGTGGGCGGCAGGGCTTGTCAGCTGCAGAAGACTTGTGCTTCTCCAAGAGCCACATAGGGGGTTTGTACCACCTTCCAAAGCCTGAAACAATTGGGTGCTTCCGTGCCTGAGGCCAGCCGCACCCAGCTGCAATCCTCAGAGAGCTGACAAGAGACCTAAAGGCTGGAGGCTTATAGCAATTGTAAGGCCCTGAGCCTAACAACCTGCCACGCTGGGGGCCTACTCACTTAAAAGAAATACTGAAGCACAAATGTGGTATTAGAACTTGCAGCC